GGAACTGTGACATTCATGTTACATCCACGCAAAGAATTCTGTTTGTGTCCTGATACTTTGAATGCAGCTGAATTCAATATCAATAGGCTAATGATTAGGTGGAGGGCATTTCCTGACATCACAACATTTGGGCTGTAGTGTGGGTGTTGCTCACTGTGTTTTAGACAGGTGTCTAGTAATAATTCAGAGCAAAAAGTGTGACAGAAAGATGGGGAAATGTGCATCTGAATGTGGGTATGGAGAAAGGGGTTATAATTGTAAAAAAAAGATTGGCTACACTGTAGGGAATAGTGTCCAGCCAAAGAAACACACCAGAGCAGAGTCAAGGAAACATACCCAGAGTAGAGCCAAAGAACCACACCAGAGCAGAGTCAAGGAAACACACCCAGAGTAGAGTCAAGGAAACACACCCTGAGCAGAGCCAAAGAAACACACTCTGAGCAGAGCCAAAGAAACACACCCTGAGCAGAGCCAAAGAAACACACTCTGAGCAGAGCCAAGGAAACACACTCTGAGCAGAGCCAAAGAAACACACTCTGAGCAGAGCCAAAGAAACACACTCTGGCCCTGCAACAAGAACCAAACAAATGCACCCTGGCCCTGAAACCAGTGCCAAAGGAACACACTTTGTCCTGGAATCAGAGCCAGTGAAAAAAATGCACCCTGGCCCTAAACCTAGAGCCAAAAGGCTAAAAAGGACCAGAGAAAGAAACACACTTTGGCCCTGAAACCAGAGCCAAATTCGTACAGAAAACTAAACAATCCTTGAGCAGATCTAGCCATCCTAAACTCAGGGATTGGAATCTGACCAATCCCCACCCTGGAAAAACTCCACCCTTAAGAATCCCTATATAAATCCTGTGTCTGTTCAGCTTGTGGCTGTTACGGCAACCCTACTGTCCTCTGCCACCCTCCTGGATTCTTCCTTCCCAATAAATCTCTTGAATGAGGTTTGGGTGAGACCTTCTTTGGAACAGATTCCAGCCTGGGTAGAGCAGGGCTGAAACACTTTTCACCCAGGGAAACTTCCTGGCTAAGCGAAAGTTATTACACTCCACTCTCTGGGGGAATGGAACCATGGAAACTGTAACAAACTGTAACAACTTCGCTTGGGAAACCCTCTCCTGCAGGAGCAGAGCTGATACGCTAGGGAAGCCTCTCCCTGGAGCAAGGCTGTAAGCTGCTCTGCGTACTGTGACCTGTGGTATTCCTTGGCTCCTGATTGCCAGGATACCTTTCCATCCGAGCTGTGACACTCAGTATTCTGTGGCTCCCAAGTGCCATAATCCATCCGTGTCCATCTCATTGGATCCCTTGAAATGCTTACAGACACAACAGGGAAAGACAGTGTAGAGTTTCTCCATCTGGAACTCTGGCCATTTCAGGGTTAATTAGAATTTGACTTCCTTGATGAGGAATTCCATGGGAAATTACCAAACTCTCTTCTAGAAACCAAGATACCCCAGATAACTTACCTTCTGCTAAACGGTTGGCACAAAACCTCACCCAGCAGCAGCTGACAGCTTGTCTTACCTGCTGCTTAACAGCTTGCACAAGAGTCCCACTCCCAACAACTTAGATGGGAAGAGCCTCCCCTCCAGCTGCTGAGCAAGAGAACAGGATGTGGGCTTTTGCCTTTAAAAGCCTCTTGGTTTATGCTTGGAGCTATATTTGGGTCCCAGGTACCTGAGTGTAGTCCCAGCCGATTGGAATACTTTCAATTCATTATTGTTGTGCCCAAGTCGTGAAGATCCCCAAAGACCACCAGGGAGACAGACCCACTGAACTGCAAAAGCAAGGTTTTATTGTTCATCCAACCATGGCAGGGACTCTGCCTGGCAAGCTGACACAGCAGTGAAGTTCCCTGTCTACTGCTAGGTTTTCAAGACCAAAGTCACAGGATTACATCAGTAGGTGTGGGTTGGTTTCTGATTAGTTTACATTTGGGAACAACTAGGAGAATTTCTCAAAGTCATATTTTGGCATGAAATACCTGTGTACCAACTATTTTCATTGGTCAGTGCTGAGAGGGAACATTCTGTGGTTTCTATGGCTTTGTCTTGTTACTTGCAGGTGGTCTGTTGTACATAGATACCAATAGTTTACAGAACTGACTATCCTGGAGACTACAGGGGAGGTTTTGGTCCCCCCTGGAGTTTCTTTTGTGGCCAAACAATTGCCAGGAACCAAGTATCTAGGAGGTTGGGGGGGTGTCTGGAGTTTATTGTGTTCAGTTTTGGCCCTAGGCTCTGGGAGGCCAGAGGATCTGGAGTTTTCTTGTGTCAGAGGCCTACGTGTCTTTTCTGTAGTCTGTCATGGCTGCTAAAGCAGGGGCTGAGTGAGGGTCTGGTCCTTTCATATAAACTGTGCCTGAGTGACCATCTCTTGTGGGCTCCTTGTAACAGACACACTAAAGAGAAGACAAGTACAGGTATAAACATGAAGACTCATTTGAAAACCTTTCATTTAAAAGGTCAATCCAGGCAGGAGAGATGTCTAAGCTGGTGACGGGACTGACTGAAGAGATGGCACTCGAGTTCCATCCCCTGGGCACACAGAGAGGAAGGGAAGAAGACAAGAAGACACTGTCCTCCAACCTCTGCTAGAGGTCCATGACAAGGGCTTGAAACAGCGCACGCACACACGCGCGCGCACACACACACACACACACAAACACACACAAACACACACACACACATACACACACACACGCTGTCTGAGCACAGTGTGCTGCTGTAGGGGCTCCCTCGTCTTATCAGGACCACCCAGGGGAGTATTTTCTCAGTTTGAACTGCTGAGACTTTCAGAGGCGGCAGCAGCTGTGGTTAAGTGGGGACGTATAGTCTTCCTGACAATCTAATTTGCCCACTGATGACCACTTCAAACCACCTAAAGGTGCACCTACGGCAAACAGCAGTCGTCATGGAAACATTAGTCTTGCTATTCCGAGACCACAGTGGTCTGGGTTATCCATTTGTTCACTGCTATGCAATCCAGACCCAGAGGATTACTGAGTGCAGTTGCTTGCATCCATGTCAGGTGACTCACAACCCTCCCGCAACTCCAGCTCCAAGGGATTCCACGCTTCTCTGGCCTCGACAGGCACCTGCGTTCATGTACCCAAACTCACACGCATGCACATAGTTAAAAATACATCTTAAAAGCAGGGCAGGCATAATAGGAATAGACACTGTTCCTTGTATCTCTGACTAGATACATTTGGAGTCACATTCTCTTTCTTTTCTTTTGTTGATGTTTTGATACAGGATTTCTCTGTGTAACAGTCCTGGCTGTCCTAGAACTCACTCTGTAGACCAGGCTGGCCTCGAACTCACAGAGATCCTCCTGCCTCTGCCTCCCTAGTACTGGGATTAAAGGTGTGTGCCAACCACCATGTGGCACATTCTCTTTCCTTTGTGGCAATTTATTTGTTTAATTTGTAAGTTTTTATTTTTGTATTGGGGGTTGAACCTAGGTAGGAATTGGATAGGCTAAGGGAGTCACACAAGTTCTCATACTTGTGAAACCTCTTCCTGAGGAACAAGTTCCTCTACCTGGCCACAAGCTTCACTCTGTTCCTTTCCTCAGCGTGAGCTTCTTGGGGGAAAGTTCCTATTTTTTGGTGACCATTATAGTTATTATTATTTCGGTGTTTTTGAGACAGGGTTTCTCTGTGTAGCCCTGGCTGTCCTGGAACTCACTCTGTAGACCAGGTTGGCCTTCAACTCACAGAGATCCATCTGCCTCTGCCTCCCGAGTGCTGGGATTAAAGGCGTGCGCCACCAATGCCCGGCTAATGAGTTGTTTTATAGCAAAGTCAGCTACACAAAAACTTGCTCAGGGTGTAAAACCTACCATCAAAGTTCACTGAACTTGCCAGGGACGTAAAGTGTAACAAGGAAAAGCACAGTCACAGTGAATTCTAGGAAGCCAACCATAACATTATTCCACTGCTACTTCATAAGTGTAATTTTGCTACTCTTATGAATCATAATGTAAGCAGGATATCCGATGTGGGCTGTGGAGGTCATGGCCCAAAGGTTGAGAATCACTGATTTAAGACCTGCTCATAGAAGGAAACACGTGCCTAGGACCTGTAAATCAGGCCAAGAACCCATGGCTGGGGAACTCACAGTTCACAAGTTTGAACTTACTGATTTGCTGAACGGACACAGTCTGCAACTGCCCTCTGGCTCTGTACCTGTCTGCCGGTGGATTAGTTTATCTCTCAACTTCACCAGAGACGTTAATTTGTGTGCGGTGGATGATGGCTAATGAAGGAACTCATAGTTGGCCAAAGTGCAGATAAAAAGTGTCTGTGGGTTGATAGGATACCTATATCACCCTTCCCCACCAAGACTCAGGGGCCACGAAGGTCGAGGAGGCAGGAAGACGATCATTAGAGCCACAGGTTGGGGGAAAGCCGAACAAATAAATCAGTGTCTCCCCAACAGGACAGGACGGCTGCAGTCATGAACTGGTGGATTCTGTGACTGCCTGCGTGCATGCAATCGGCGGTCTAGCACAGAGTGGGCAGGTGACCGTAAGCCCCCACCTCTAACTGAGGAGCTATTGACAGCTGACAGCTTCTTGGGGAGGAGAGTCATTTTTCCATAAGGATGTGCCCCAGGTAGGTTGAGCAAGTTAGAAGCAGTAGCAGCGGCAGCAAAAGATAGCAGGAAGTTGGAAAATGGAGGGGGGAAAATGGAGGGGGAAATGGAGGGGGGAAAATGGAGGGGGGGTTACATCTGGAGGGAGTAAGAAGGAGGAGCAGGGCATTACAGTCGAAATACATCATATGAATGTATGAAATTCCCAAAGAATTAATAAAAATAATTTAAGCTATCACAATGTTATCTCAACAAGAAAAAAAAGAGGTCACCAAAATACCCACGCTTAAGGTTTTCTTCTAATGTCTATGCAATGCCATGCATGGATACATGTCTAACATAGCACCCCACACAAACACACACAACAAATGAACTTAGGTAAAGAGCCATTTCGTGCTTTTTTATTTCCAACAATTTCATTTATCTCCTTGAGGAAATCACGAAACTTCGTATATTAGAATTAGAGCTCGGTTTCACTTTAGGACAGGGTATGAAATCGGGGCTGTGGGAAGAGGAGAGAGTTGAGCTCACCATTGGTCTACTTTTTTCTCCTGAACGAACTGCCCGTGAGGCCCCTCTGCATCTGGGGGTAAGAGGGCCAAGTACACGGGGGTCTCTGCTCCTTCTTCTGGGCTCTTGGGGGCTTTTGGCCCAGCCATGTCTGTCCTCACCCACCCTGGACAGCAGGCATTGAGCAGGATCTTGTCCCCTCTCCTCTGCTCGCTGAGTTTCCGGGCGTGGATTCTGGACAGGACTGTCACCCCAAGCTTGGTCACCCCATATGCAGTATTAGGCCAGCCTTCCTTCGCATGAACTCCTTTCTTTGTGTCTTCTACAAACTTGTTCATGAGTCCCACCAGCTCCTCCTCTGTGATGGCCTCACTTCGGAACTTCTGCTGCAGCTCCGGGCTGCAGTTTTTCAGGGCGTCAAGACTTATGATGCTTGATATGTTCACCACTCTGCCTAAGATAAACAACAGAAATGATGGGTTGCAGGTACCAAGGGGCTTAGTATAGAAAATTCCCACTTGAGAGAATGGTGGGTGTGCAATTGAAGACGAGCACACACAGCCAGGACCACGGTGGCGGAAGGGGAGCCTGAGGCAGATTGAGCAGGGTAGTGGCATTGGAAGGGGCTGCCCTCTGAGGTCTGTGAGCACAGCCTTGAGACGTACTGGAGTCTTCTAGAAGGGTAGGCTAGGATAGAGGATGGGAGTTTAAATTGTATGGTTTTAAAGTGGTCATTTGACTTTATTGGTGTCTTATAACTCAGAGACAAGTCACCCACAGTCCACAGCCTATGCCGTTGATGCCTTTATTGACCCTCTTGTTGGCGATGAGATGGGACTTTCCAGGTCTGCTGTGAAGGGCTAATGCGGAAAAGAGTGCGCACTAGTTACTCCTGCCCATTTTACTTACTCTCCTGTCACCACAGCTAACCCGCACCTGTGAGGAGAGAGGGGGACTGGCCGCAGTGGTAATGGAAACCCACAAAAAAAAAAAGCCACCAGCAAGAGGCCAGCTTACTGGGCAGCTTCTGCGTGGCATTAGAAGAATTTATAATGAGAGACAGATGCTAGTTTGACCTGTGCAGGTCATTAGGGAGCTAAAAAAACGAGCCTGGAGGAGAATGGAGTCGGATTATAGGAATCCACATAAACCACGCTCAGGGCTTGGGCTACCCACTGAAGGTTGTGTGGGAAACAGCCACCGAGATAACACAGAAGGAAAGGAAAAGGCTCAGGAGGGTTTGCAACTGTGTGGATTGACAGCAGAGTGTCTTGTGTAGAGCTGAGCTGTCAGACACTCTGAGGGATAAGCATGGGGATTCTTGGTTGGTTACCAAGACGATGTATGGAGATTTACGGTTAGATCGGTTAGATCGAGGGAGCATGTGATGAGGAGGGAGATGAGCAAGGGGTGGATGGATGTCAGGGGAAGGGAATCCTGGGAGTGCTCAAGGCAGGTGGAAGAATTTTCTGGATGGCGTGTCCAGTGGGTAGGCGTGGTTGTACAAATTAAGGTATGCGAGACTAGAATAAATAGGTTAATTTTATTTGGGGAGAAGTCACTTACACGAGAAACCGATGACCCCCAATTTCCAGCTCCGAGGATCAATGCTCAGCTGCTCTCTGTGACCGGACTGGAACCCAGAGAGCAAGCAAGCCTATCCCAGACCCCAGACCAAATCCCACACGCTTGCATATGCCCAAACAGGAGTGGTCAGCACCACAGGTGCGGAGATAGACCTCTCACTACAGGTAGGTGCTTGTGAAAGCGCCACCAGTGGACCTTGGGCACACAGAAGGGCATGAGGCAAATGGACTTTTGACCCAAGACTTGAGGAAGGAAAACCAGGCAGGTATAGATGTCACAGTGAACGTCAGTGGGGGCTGGAGAAACAATGACAGGTTGAGGCTCACCACGGAGGTCTGTGCTGCTGCAGCTGGAGAGGAGAAGGAGGACCTGGAAACAGATGCCAGGCCCAGGAGGGCAGAGCTCAGGAGGGCAGAGCTCAGGAGGGCAGACCCCAGGAGGGCAGACCCCAGGAGGGCAGACCCCAGGAGGGCAGACCCCAGGAGGGCAGACCCCAGGAGGGCAGACCCCAGGAGGGCAGAGACCAGGAGGGCAGAGACCAGGAGGGCAGACCCCAGGAGGGCAGACCCCAGGAGGGCAGACCCCAGGAGGGCAGACCCCAGGAGGGCAGACCCCAGGAGGGCAGAGACCAGGAGGGCAGACCCCAGGAGGGCAGACCCCAGGAGGGCAGACCCCAGGAGGGCAGAGACCAGGAGGGCAGAGACCAGGAGGGCAGACCCCAGGAGGGCAGACCCCAGGAGGGCAGACCCCAGGAGGGCAGACCCCAGGAGGGCAGACCCCAGGAGGGCAGACCTCAGGAGGGCAGACCCCAGGAGGGCAGAGACCAGGAGGGCAGACCCCAGGAGGGCAGACCCCAGGAGGGCAGACCCCAGGAGGGCAGAGACCAGGAGGGCAGACCCCAGGAGGGCAGACCCCAGGAGGGCAGACCCCAGGAGGGCAGACCCCAGGAGGGCAGACCCCAGGAGGGCAGACCTCAGGAGGGCAGACCCCAGGAGGGCAGACCCCAGGAGGGCAGACCCCAGGAGGGCAGAGACCAGGAGAGCAGAGCGGACCACACACCAGGCTTACCTTGGGGTTTTATTAGAGGGAGTATCTCCAAGCAAACAGCCCGGGTGCCAAAAAAGTTTGTTTTCATTGCTGCTTCTGCTTGAATGTGGAAGTGGGTAGGATCGATGCCTTAAAGGGGAGAAAGAACATAAGGAAAGAGGAGTCAATAGTAATAACTTGAGGCAACAGTGAACTTGCAGTCTAGTTAGGTAAGTCCTACTGTGGTGGTTCAAATGGGGAATGGTCCCCACAGGGATTGGGACCGGTTGGAAAGGATTAGGAGGTGTGGCCTTGTTGGAATAGGTGTGTCCCTGGAAATGGGCTTTGAGGTTTCTGAAGGGACATTTTGTCAGGACCGTCGGTTTCCTCATAGTGACATGGAGACTTATTAATTACGAATGCTTGGCCTTTATCTTAGGCTTCTTACTTCCTGGTTCTTATGACCTAAATGAACCCATCTTTGCCCCGTGGCTTTATCATCTCATCTCCGTTGCCTGTCCTTGCTCTGCGTCTCTTGGCATCTCTGCCACCTTCTTCCAGCTCACTCTCTTCCCTGAGAATCCTGCCGAGCTATTGGCCGTTTAGCTTCTTATTAAACCAACCAGAGTGACACATCTTCACAGTGTACAAGAAGATTAATCCACAACACACACCAGGTCTAGGCCCTCTCTCTGCCCGCTGTCTGCAGATCAGGATGTAAAGCTCTCGGCTACTCCTTCAGCACCATGCCTGTCTGCTTCCCTCCACGGTGATCCACGGGCCAGCCCTTTAAAAACGTAAGCAGGCTCTCAGCTAAATGCTTCTCCTTATAAGTTGCCTTGGTCATTGCCTCTCTTTGTAAATAGGGCAGTCACTAAGATACCTACCAGTCAGGAATCGCACGCTCTATGAGGTTTCTGTTTGATGACCCTGTATTTTACCACATGACATCAGTCCTGGTGCCGAGGTGAAGGCATCCTACAAGGGATCTCAGTGCAAAAGACCTCTCCCCCACCCCATTTCTTGCTTAATTCCAAATCAGTTAGAACTAAACGCAGCTGGTCTTGTTTTGGAGGCTGTCCTGGAACTAACTCTACTAGACCAGGTTGACCTTGAACTCACAGAGATCTACCTGCCTCTGCCTCCCAAGTGCTGGGATTAGAGGCGTTCGCCACCAACGCCCGGCAACCCAGCTGGCCTTTAAGATCCAGATGTTGCACTCGGGAGGCAGAGGCAGGCAGATCTCTGTAAGTTCGAGACTAGTCTGGACTACCAAGCGAGTTCCAGGACAGCCTCCAAAGCCACAGAGAAACCCTGTCTCGAAAAACCAAAAAAAAAAAAAAAAAAAAAAAAAAAGATCCAGATGTTGACCTGACATAAACTTGCAAAGTATCCCAGAGTCAAGCCAGATAACTGGTTAAGGCTCTTAGAGTGAAAAACTTCCAGGCTGTGGTACAGCAGGCTACTGGACAATAGGTATGCCACATCATGAAAATATTCCCACGAATACTTTCAGTGCTAAGATTATCTCCGGTAAAAATCGGCCTCTGGACCAGCCCTAAATTCTGACACAGTGTCACCCTGTATTGTATTGTTTCGCCGCCTGACTGTTTAACTGTTTTCTCTATGCTTTCTTAAGCAACGCTTGCTGCTGATGTCCAGAGCTCCCTGTTTATGTCACAATTGCACTGTTTGCTCTTGAAAACTGCAAACCCACTGGCCACACTCATCTGCTTGGGACAGTCTTGCCAGCATTTAATGAAAGACTTCAACTTACTCAGGCCTCTCAGCCGTTTTTCTCTTCAGGTATCCTGTAACACTGAAATACTCATTTTGTTCTTAAGCTCCCGACGTATCTTGCTCCTCTCGAGGAGCCTACTGAGACCTCCACAAGCCAAGGTGTCCCCACCCCATCCCCTTGCACTGCCAGGCCAAGAGCAGACAGACCTGGCTGGGCGCTCTTGAAGAAGTCTCTTTTCCTACTTGGTGGCTTATTCTTGGGCCAGGTGCCAATGCCCGCGTTGTTGACCAGCACGTCCAGTCCCCCGTACTCCTTGAGCAGAAAGTCGCGCAGGGCGCGAATGCTCTGCGGGTCGTCGATGTCCAGCTGGTGAAAGCGGGGGCTCAGGCCCTCCGCCTGCAGCTGCTGCACCGCAGCCTTGCCCCGCGCCTCGTCCCGCGCGGTGAGCACCACGTCCCCCGAGAACTTGCGACACAGGTCACGCGTGATGGCGAAGCCGATGCCCTTGTTGGCCCCGGTCACCAGTGCTATGTGGTTGCTTGATGACATCGCTGAGTGGACCGTGAGAGCACCCGCCAGAACAACTAACTCAGCCGACTCCGGGCTACTGAGATGTTAGGTTGAGAGTGTGTGAACATATGGAGTGTTGTATGCCTGGGGACCTTCGGCCCAGAGCCCAGTCTGTAAGCAGTCTTGGGCACTGTCCTTGGCACAGCTCCGTGGAGCTTCAGGGCAAACAAGATGGGCCAGTCTGAGTTAGTGTTGGGTGAACTGTCCATCTCACAGCGAGACATCTTAAGCCTCCAAGTGGCCCACCGTCCTTATTGGTGAGTGTTTAACCAGTGATGGACCACGTGTTTGTAGGGGTGAGCCCCCAAAACTATCCACCCAAAAGGGCGGGGTAGGGGGATCAGCACAGGTGGGCTATTTAAGGAAAAGTACTCTCTTGCTCTTTTGTTGGAAGCCTGACACACTTCTGCTCTCTCAGTTCTTTCTCTGGTAAATGAATGTATTTTATATTGTATTGACCTCCCTTGTCAGCTGGTATCAGAAGACAAAGGCTAAGTCTTCAAAGAGGTAGGAGCCTCCACCTGCTCAGCCTGGTGCCCAATGCGCCACGGCCGGGCCACTCAACACAACTCCAGGACAAGGAACTGATACAGTGCATCTTCTACAATCTGACCAGAGCTTCAGATAAGAGCTTCAATCAAAATTAGAACTCCAGTCAAAAACTTCAATCAAGCATCTCCTGCCAAACAGAGACTAATTAACCTACCTAAGACTCTTGTTACACTAACATTTTCTACCCATAGGTCCCCATGAGATTGTCATCGCCCCATTTCAACAGGAAGTAATTTTGAGAATCCACGCCCCCTTTCCCTACTGTTGATGTCATAGGATAGTTTACATCTGTTTATGTTAGTTTTCAATGATTTTAGGGTTGGGATTGGAAGGAGGTGTTCAGACTTGGGCATCCCTTTCAGATAAGTTTAGAATTTATCTGGGATAGATATGCTTAGCCCAGGATATAAGTAGATTGTAACTTACTTATCACCTTCTATGTATATATGTTGTATATGTTTGAGTTTTGCATCAAGTTTAAATCTTCTATTTAGACTAGAAGCGGAATTGTAGGGGTGAGCCCCCAAAACTATCTGCCCAAAAGGGCGGGGACAGGGGGATTAGCACAGGTGGGCTATTTAAAGAAAAGTACTCTTTTGTTGGAAGCCTGACATGCTTCGGATCTCCCAGCTTGTGTGTAAGTTCTTTCTCTGGTAAACAAATATATTATATTTTATATTGCATTGACCTCCCTTGTCATGTGTTGGCACTGTACAAGGAAAACGCTGGAGATGGGAAGCTGGGACTTTGCCAAATGGCTCCTGGCAGTTGCTCACCTGGCAGCCAAGAACTGTCCGTTGGTCACGTACGTGATTAGGTCTGACCTTTCACACCTGCATTCTCTGCCCTTAACTTACCCAGGCTTCCCATCCTGCCTCGAGAAACGGGATCTGCCCCGACCATTGTTCTTCCCGTCCTGGGGTTTACAGCATTTCTCTGTAGATGGAGTAAGTCTTTGCGTCTAGGGGAGAATGAGCAGGAAGGAATGAGTGGGAGACTGGGGCCCGGATGGCCGCTCAGTGCTTACATGAAAGACAAGCTGCTGACCACTTCTTGGCTAGGTCTTTCCGTAGATGGCAGGGAACATTTTGAAGTCATTGCGGGCTCAGACATCAGGTGCTAGGAAGTCATCATTGTCACTGCAGGCCAGAATGGCAGTTTCCAGGACACAGGGCAGCCCCTGTAAAATACTTTAGAGGACATCAGGGTGCACTGCTTTGTTTACAATTTAATAAAAAAATTGTATTAATATCTACTGCATGTTGGACACACTCCCTCCTATGTTGCCAAAGCCTTCTCTAGTCCACCCGATAGCTCCCTCTCCTCCCCTAGCTCCCCTTCATTCTGCTTTCATGTTCCGTATGCTTACATATATTTCTATTAAATCTTGGATCCATAAATGGGAAAAGGCACGTGATGTTTGTCTTTCTGAGGCTTAATTTGGTGCTTAATAGGATTACCTCCAGTTGCACCTGCTTTCCTGTAAACGACAAAACCCTGTTTTTCTTAATAGTTGGAAAATTCCTTTGTGTGTGTGTGTGTGTGTGTGTGTGTGTGTGTGTGTCCGTCTGTTCCTCCATCTTTGGATACCCAGGTAGGTCTTCGAACTGCGTCTGAGTCAGCTCTGGTGTGCAAGTGTCTCTACAGTAACTTTCAGTGCTCTGGGTAAACACCCAGGACTACAATACGCAGAGTAATAGGAATAGACTGATTTTTCACTTTTCGAGAAACCTCCTGTCGTAGTTTGGGTTTCATTGCCGTGAAGGGACACAACCACAGTGACTCCTGTACAGGAAAACATTTAATTGGGGCTGCCTTGCAGTTCAGAGGTTTAGTCCATTATCATGTCCAGAAGCATGACGGCGTGCAGGCAGACATGGTGCTGGAGAGCAGCGGAGAATTCTATGTATGGACTGTCAGACATCAGGGAGAGAGTCCTTGGGCCTGGCTCCAGCACTTGAAAGCTCAAAACCCACTCCCAGTGACACACTTCCTCCAACAAGGACACGCACACCTACCTACTCGGACAAGGCCACGCCTCCTCTGACAAGGCCACACCTCTTTCTTGTGCCACTCCCTAAGGGCCTACGGGGGCCATTTGCAATCAAACCACTGCATTCCATATTGCTGTCAGGGGTGACTGGAGTAGTTCATATCCTCGCCAGCACTGGCTGCGGATTCTTTCTGCTCTCACTTGTTTTCCAAGGGAGTGTGTGAGCGTTTTTTGCCAGCATGTTTGTATGTACGCCACGTGCATGCCTGGTGCCTGTGGAAGCCAGAAGAGGGCGCCAGAGTCCCTGGAACTGGAGCTACAGACAGTCTCCAATCTCCATGTAGATTCTGGGAACTGAACCTGTGGGAGCAGCCAATGCTCCAGACTCTGTTCATTTCCTTAGTGACCATCATTGTGAGATGGATTCTCAGTACAGGTGAGGATGAACATTACCATGTGTCTGTTGTATTTTATCTTTTGAGAATTTTAGGCCCATGTTGTTACCCAACGCATTGATTGGGTTATTGGGTTTCATGTTGTTTAGGCTTTTGAGTTCTTTATATATTCTAGATATTAATCCATGGCCAGATACACACTAAGCCAAGACTTTCTCATATTCTGTGTGATGCCTCTTCACTCCACAACTGTTTCCTTCACTGTGCAAAAGTGTTTTAATTGCACGAGGTACCAGTTACTCACTGGCCTTACTTCCTGAGTGACCAGAGTCCTATGTAGAAAGTCCCAACCTGTGCCTATGTCTTAAATTATTTGTTTTACTTTCCCCTTTCACAGTTTCAAGTCTTCCTTCCTTCCTTCCTTCTTTCCTTCTCTCTCTCCCTCTTTTTTCAAGATAGGGTTTCTCTGTGTAACAGCCGGGTTGTCCAGGAACTCACTTTGTAGACTAGGCTGGCCTTGAACTCACAGCGATCCATCTGCTTCAGCCTCCAGCTCTGGGATTGAAGGCTTGTGCCACCATGCCTCGGGTCTCATATTAAGATCTTTTATCTGTACAGACTTAGTGTAAATATACGTCTTTCTTCACTTTGCATGACACAATTTACAGTTTTGCCTTGTATCGCTTTGTTAAGTTGAGAAGTGTTCCCTTCTTTCTTAGTATCTTCTGAGGTTTTAATCATGTAGCAATGCTAGATTTTATCGAAGGCCTTTACTGGGTCTATTGAGATGATTTCGTGATTATATTACATTTATTGATTTGTGAACGCTGAACTCTTTGTGCTGCGTTGGAATGAAGCCAATGATGAGCTCGCCTGACTGTGTTAAGGTTGGAAGCCATTGTGCTACAAGGTTGGAACAGGTTTGTTTCTGCTTCCTGCAAAACTCAAGTTTGATCATGCTTTAATGTATTTCTCGAATTGGACGTGCTTCCCTGTGGAGTTTGATCCATACTTTGAATGTATCCTGAGCTCTCCCCTGATAAGATAAGGTGTTCTAACAAGGAAATCTTGAGATATCTTGAGACGTTCTGCCAAGATGATCTGCTAAATAATCTTATCGGCTCTCTGCTTCTGTAAATGTGCTTGCTTATGTGACCTGGGGTTGCCCCATCCCTTTGACAAGCCCCGGTTTGTACCTTTTCCCTATAAAAGGAGGCCTGGAAAGCCAGCCCATGCTGCTGTCTCCAGTCCTGCTGTGGGGTCGCTCCGGTGCATAGTAACCATGCTTGCTGAATCAGCCGTAATGTGGGTAGCAGCCTCCATCCTTTCTCAGTGGGATCCATATTATTAGAGGCTCCATCGAGATTACACCTCCAGCCCCATCTCGGGGACCCTCTCCTCCAGTCCTCCAGGACCAAAGAGCACTTCCCCTTAGGATGCACACTTTGAAGAAGTTCCAAGGCCCAGGGACATGCTCTGGTCTCTTCTGACTATTGAGGTGAACAGCCTAGACAAAAAAGAGATCAGCAAGCACCCATCTGAGGAGGCCTGTTGCTCTAATGGTTTTGTTCTTACTCTTTTTTGGCTTTTTTTGGGGGGGGAGCCCACCACCCAGCTCCCAAATAACTCACCCATGGATGCTTATTCTTAGTTATGAACACCCGGTCTTAAATTGGCTTGTTGCTACCCAGATTTTCTTTTCTTTTCTTTTCTTTTTTCCTTTTTGGTTTTATGAGACAGGGTTTCTCTGTATTGTTTTGGAGGCTGTCGGTCCAGCCCGGCCTCGAACTCACAGAGATCCGCCTGCCTCTGCTTCCTGAGTGCTGGGATTAAAGGCATGCGCCACCACCGCCCGGCACTACCCAGCTTTTCTTAACCCATCCATCTTTTGCCTCTGGGCTTTCATCTTTCTCTATCTCTGTGACCCTTACTTTCTCTCTTACCCTGCGACTGGCTGGGTGACTGGGTGGCTGACCCCTGACCCCTGACCTCCTCCTCGCCTTGTTCTCTCCTCTCTTTCTCACACTCTCTGCCTGCCCGCCCCGCCTATCCTTGCTCCTGCCTCTCTGTTGGCCGTTCATCTCTTTATTAGGACC